GTCTGTCTGGTATATTGTTTGTCGGGGGTCGCAATTTTAAAGAAATGTATTCTAAAGTAATGCAAATAACTGATAAATAAGTAAATGTGGTACTTACCTGGGCATAACCCCGGCACAGGTACCTGTAACAAAGATGCCGACGGCCTCTATGCTTAGCCGGGGATTAGGTCGGTGATTAAGAGGAAAGAAAGGGATTCTTTCCAATTAGCCTTAATAAAGGCAGGTGGAATTTGCTCCTTGCACTACACTTTCACAAAACACGTGTGCTCTGCTCAGCTGCCCGCTCGGAACTCGCTCGTTAGAGTGTTGGAAAATAATCGAAACACCTGCCCTCTCGCTCCAGCAGCGCGTTTGTGTTATTCGGTGATGACTAGTGACGATTGACGTTAGTAATGCTGTGGTCGTCATTCGTCTAAGAATAATCGAATGAATTTATATGATCTCTCGAGATATCTCGAGAGATTTTCATAATCGATATAATCGATAATTTTCATTCGAGTAGTCCCATCACTAGTTGGAGCACAGAATAACCAATAACCCAAAACCCAACTGTAGTTGGGTTCTTCGTTATTCTGTGCTTATAAAATGTTCTAACTTAAAAGAGTCAATCGTCTAGATCATGGAGACTATACACTCCCTTCCTCGTCGTTATTTTTGGCGTTAAACGTGTCCTCGATAATTTGGAACCGAGGGGGACTACCCCTCCTTGTCTTGCGTTATCTCTGTACGCCTGGGCACTTGGGCAGCCTCGTGCATGTGGGCCCCGTCAGCCCCGTCCATCGTCTACCCCAACTACAAGCATGACCGGTATAGGCGCTTTGTGGGACCTCCTCTTGCCATGGCTGGCAGAGGAGCCTCTTCCGACGCTCTTCGTGTCTTGATTTTTCTTTCTTCGCCGGCTTGTCTAGCCTCGCGGGGGTAGTCGTCGTGAGGAGTGGGTGTTTGGGAATAGCTGTAGCCATAAGAGTAACTAAATATTACTCTTATTGCTGTAGCTAGGGAATGCACGCGGCCTTTGAGTCACTGACTCGCGGGCCGGTGCGGGAATAGGATACGTCAGGGTTACCGCGGAGTTTTTCCGCGGGGGACGGGTTTTTTGATGTTAATACCGAACTTGCCTTTTGTTAATTATTACATCTGAGATCTTTTTGAATTAAATGAAAACAGAAACGAAAACCTGCTAGCCTGGTGGTAACACTGGTAACTGAAGCAAAGCAAACGCTTCTACCTTCTACCACAAAATATATCTTCTACCATGGCTGTGCAACTAGCATTGCCAGATTCGCNTCCTTGCACTACACTTTCACAAAACACGTGTGCTCTGGTCGGCTGCCCGCTAGGAACTGTTTCGGTGACTGTTTCAAATCTATCTGAGAGCTGCTAAAATACATAGTGGAAATATGTGTATATAAATTTTTTCTACTATGTATTGTAGCCGTGAGGAAGGTGACATATACTGAAACGTTGACAGTAAAAACTGTGAACTAAAGAGTTATTTTATTCTGATCCAAGCTGTAAACTTGTTTTCCAATTGAAAAAATTCATAAAAATATTAATTATTTGTATATACACATATCTCCCCCAATAACCTATTATGACCCCTATCTCCCCTATGTCTCAAACTCGGGCGGACTTCTCGTCAGAGGGCGCCCCATATGGCATCAAGTTGTGTAATGGGAGTTGCCTATCTATCTCTTCTATTATCTATGGCAAACGCTTCTACCTTCTACCACAAAATATATCTTCTACCACGGCTGTGCAACTAGCATTGCCAGATTCGCAACAGGGAGGGGATGGAGATTGTCCAGACACACGAAGAACGGGGTCAAGGATTTGGAACGGGGTGAGGAAAAGGAAGTAACTTTAAGTTTGTTACGTTAGTTACAAGTTTTGTCATTATGTAAAATCCACATACTTCTATACATATACAAAGCATTTTGAAAGGGAATTGAAGCCAAAAAGTGGGGGTGTTGCACTTTGAGTGTTATACGCACGCGTTATGTGATCATTTTCCCATTGGTCGGTTTGTCGATTAACATCATTGTCATTTCTGAAGGTAGGTTATGAACAGAAAGACAGCCGTAAATGATTTGTTAAACAAAAAAAAAGGAAAGAGAAAACGAGGCATACCCATAAAAAACATGGGACCAAGTAGTGGCAGAAGACTTAAAGAAAAGAGGAACAAGCTGGCATGAAGCGATGATTCTAGCAAAAAATAAAAAAGAAGACAAAATTTGTTTATAAGTAAAAATATATAACTTTACACCCTGTGGATACTTAAGGTTTTATTGATTGAGGATTTTTATTAATTAAGGGCAATGTATTGATGAAATTGGCTGAAGCAAATTTTTACGTGTCCAATCAGTAGCTAGAAATTCCACATATTGCTAATGCATGAGACTTCGTGTTTATTACAAAATGTATCTAGTTTTGTAAACTTACTTATAATAGATACATTGACAACCTTAGAAGTTTCATGGTGAACTTTTACTGTTATATACTAAAAGAAGTCGAGTAGTTTCCCTTTATATATTTTTTGTAAATGTCACAAGAATAAAACCGGCACTGCCTCAATGTGTTCTAAGATCTTGCCTAGCTGTGTATTGTATATTTAATAAAATAAGACTTGATATTTAGCATACGTTAAAAAATCAAATTGAATCTGGTACCTTGAATCACGAAACACTAAGGTTAATATGATTGATATGATTTATTTTTATTATTATTTATTTATAAGTATTAGTTAAGGTAGATAACTCGATATCACTTTTATGTATGTATATTTGTACATAATGTGTATTTTTATATGAATTTTTGTGAAAATGTATTGATTTTAAATTTCAAAAAAATGTTTGCTATTTTATATAAATAAACCACTTTTATTCTCTTCTGAATTACGTTTTATTGTACCCATTTTATTTTACTTTCACTATCTAATATTTTCATAAATAACAATTAACAAGTTGTATAATTAGATATACAAAATAACAATTGGTAATTTTGCTCTGTTAATAGTACATCACTTATTAAATTTCATTTATTTGAAATAATCCGCTAAATTTTCGGGCTTGCGCAAAATTGACAAAGTGCAACATGTACACTTTTTATCCCCTCTTTTTGGGAACAAGGTCATTCAATGTAAAAGATATGCAGCGCTTGGTATATGTATGTATAGAAGTATGTGGTAAAATCTAGTGTCTTTAAATTTTTTACTAACTTTTTTTTTGGTTATATTATGTATTTGTAGTAATAGAGAAAAATATTGGAAGTTTTGGCAAAAAGGTAAGTAAATATTAAATTGAGCAAGTCTTCCTATTAAATATAGAGAAAAGTGTTATGTTTGTTTACACACAAAAGAAAAATATTTATTATTTATTTATTATGTCTAAACATTCATATTTTTAAAATATTGTTTTTTTTATCCGTCAACTTTCCATTTTGTTTGCGTCTTTAGAAAACAGGTTTAACAGAAAATATAAAGTTTGTGAACAGAATTGTTTGTTTGTATGCAACATTAATAACCGCGCCATTGACCCTGGGTGACCACCCCACCGACATCCCCCCCTGCCCGTTAACCTTTTCTGTTTCAGAGACCGCCAGGATCAAGAAACGAAGACAACGACACACACACACACAACACACATACACACCCCCCCATACCCTCCTTACCAATCCCTTCCCGCGCTAGCCTAACGGCCACCTTAGCAAAGCGCATCCCAGGCTGCATAGCCGCTCTACCGTACCCAACCATAAACATGACACCACCCCCGGAGTTTACACAGACGAGTCGGCGAAGCAAGAAGAGCGCCAGAAGAAAGGGCCTAGCCGGCAGGGCCCAGCCAGGACAAAAGGAGGTCCCACAAAGCGCTTACACCGGCCGCATTTGCGGTCGGGGTAGACGACGGATGGGGCCCACCTACGAAGGCTGTCCAGGCCTACACGAGATGAGGCAGAATAGAGAGGGATAATCCCCCTCGATTCCAAATCATTGAGGCCAATTTCTAGCCATGGAATAATGGCGCGAACCACGCCATTATTCCATGGCTAGAAATTGGCCTCAATGATTTGGGATCGAGAGGGATTATCCCTCTTTATAACATTAATAACCACATTAAAATTGCTAATAAATACTGTTTTATAAATTTTGCAGTTTCTTTTTTAAGTTTATAAATGAGTAAAATACGATTTTACCATTATAAATCGTAATATCGTATGTATGTTTAAATATTAAAAGGAAGAAGTATTAGGGTCGTATGACACTATGCTAAAATTATAACTAATTTCAGTAATTAACTAAGAACTTTTTAATCTTGCATAGTATCATACGGAAACTGCTACATTTTTGTTGCAATTTGTGTAAGATACTATGCCAGATTAAAAAGTTGTTAATTAATTACTGAAATTAGTTCCAATTTTAGTATAGTGTCGTATACGACCCTTAGAATGTATTTTCAAAAGCCCGCGCAAATTGGCATCTGTTTTACCAGCGGTAGATTATAAAGTAATCATCATTATCGTCTAGGCTATCTTTAGTTCAGTTTTTTTGGGCGGCCAGACCAGACACAGTGAGGGAGCCAGTTGTTGTCCTTTACCTTTAACGTCAGTGGTGTTTCGATTTTGGTATTATGAAAACGACCTTCTTGTATTATATGTTTTGTGGCTTCTACATTCTGTAAACAATGTATATGTATATTTAATACTAAAAGGATACTTATATCCTAAGTATTATAATTCTCTATTTCATATTTTCGATCCATACAGTGAATATTTACGTGGTATGTGTTTTCACTACTTTAATTCAAATTTAAAATGTTCTTTTATGATTATTTGATACAATGCAAATTCGAGTAAAAACGAAACTTCTTTCTTTGTTGTCATTAGTTGATGTTGGATGTTGATAAACTCATAAACAACTGTCATATTTTATATTTTTCAGTTTCGTACTCATGGTTAGGTAAAAAAGTGTTTACCTTTAACGAATGGGTGAGATTTATTTGACAAAAATCCATAAAAATGAAAAGAAATAAGTATTCTTAGAGAAACAAAAATTGCATATATACAATGTCATTAAAAACAGCGGCTGATGAATATTTTAGCAACTTAAATTCAATAGCTGCGAGATTGTATACTGATTTGGAAGAAACAAAATCCTCATATGATAAATTATGGACAACACTTTCAGAAAAGGAACAGCAGGATATTTTGTCTGAGAGTATTATTAAACCAGAGATATCTATACAATATAGCTCAAAAGAAAAAAAGTCAAAAAATGATTATGCTGTTAAACTGATTTTTGATGACCATTGCTCATATCGAGATGAACATTCGGGTCCATTTAGTTTTAGAACACAAAGCCAAAGAGATCTTAACATATTTCAGACTGATAAACCAAAAGTAATCTCTGAAAAGAAGTTAAAAGTTACAAAACCAAAAGCCAAGGTGAGATTCAAATAACGCATAATATGTGTTGACAGGTAGAAGTTAAATTTAATTATTAATTTTTAAGCAACTCATCAATTTATTATGTCATTAATCCGGCACAATTAGAAACCTAAGAATGCCGGAGTACTGGAAAATTCGAATTAATGGAATGTGTATATCTAAACAATATTAAATTAAAAAACGTTACTTTTAATTGTTTATTAACAAAGAGATTGTTGTATATATATACATATATATTACATTTGTGCGTGCATATATATGTATATTGTAATAACTGTATAAATTGTATTCTTAAAGAATAATAGATAAACGCGACATGCGTAGTAACAGGCAGAAAAAATAACGCCGAATTATTGGACGTGCAGGTATAATGAAGTGCCGGATTATAGAGATTCTACTGTACTTGTACTTTACTTCTATAAATACTTCGAATAATTTAAAATAATGATTCGTGCCAAGAGATTACCATCGAAGATTTGAACCAAAAAAAATATATTCTTCACCTTATTATGGGTCTGAGTTTAGATACTTTAGTAACTACATATACATTTCTAATATTGTCACCACATCGTTTGCTTTTTAAAACAGAGGAAACAGAATTGACACGTGTTATTAGACAGCGGTAAAATAGAGAGCAGAAGTATTATTAAAAACTAAATTATTTATATTATTTTTGAATTATTGAAGCTTACGGGATGTACAATTTTTTTTTACCAATATTCATCACATTTTTTTACTATAATCATAGTGATGGCATAAATAATAAATGACTCGCTTCCATCAGCTCATCTGAAAAACCAAAATGAAACTTTGATGGAGTGATGCCACACCAACAAAATCGTGGGATTAATTAGAAACAGTTTAGGTTTATCATCAGATGGAATAACAAACTTACATGGATCAGATGCCATCTGATGCCTCATCTGGTGTAATGAGAAACTTGTGGATTGCTTAAAAAAAAGTGACACTAAACATTTTACCAAGATTTTGTACTCAATTTCCAAGATGTCCATGGAAAAAATATCAACAGGTCATACCAAAAATTAAAAAAAAAATCGTACCTATTTATACAGGTTGTCTTGAAATTAATGGAACACAGAGTAAGAGTAGATTCCTTACATCAAAATAGTGTGATATAGCTAAACCTACCTTAGTCCACTTGTGGATAATAAAAAAGGTACAGGGTGTTAAAGTTAAAATTTTGAATTCAAAATTCATAAAATTTTTAGGAAGTTCTCAAAGAATTACTTTGGAAATTTGGATTTGACGGTCTTTTAGGTCCAGGAAAACTAATCCCAACTTAACTGTGCTGTAGACACTACAGGTCGATAAAAAATGTACTCTTGATTCATAAAAATAGATCATAACTTTTTTCTCACTATGTGTACGAAAGTTTTAATAGAAAAATATTATTCTCTTATCTACTTTACACAAATAAGATATACTTGTATGTAGATAAATTTAACTGTTCAATTTATTTATTGTTTTTCCATCGGATGCAATTTAATTTTCAATACATGATTTGTACTTTATTGTCTTGCAAGAAGTTTAAATATGGTTTTATTAGAATACACATTTAAATTTTTTTTTATCACGATACCTAGATAATAATTATGCTTAAATTTACATTTTACTATACAGAATTAATTTAATAAGAAATAAAATAATTGTTATTGTTATGGAAACTACAGATAAAGATTATTATTTATAACATAATTTAATTTGTATTCAGCTGGCTATACTATAAATTCTTAACATGGCCCCCGTTTTCATTAATATAATATTAATTCTTATTCGTTTCATAAATGATTATCTAATATTAAATAATGTTTCTTCATTTCTTATTAAATAGCTTGAAAATTAAATTGCATTCAATGGAAAAACAGTATCAAAAACTATTAAATTTTTTGACAAAAACCAAATATATCTTATTTGTGTAAAATAAATAAGAGAATAATATTTTTCTATTAAAATTTTCGTACACACACACTGAGAAAAAGTTGACCAAGACTGTAGACCTCTAGCATCTACAGGACAATTAAGTTCGGATTCGTTTTCCTAGATCCAGAAAACGCCCGAATCCAAATTTTCAAAACTTTATAAGAATTTTGATTTCAAAATTTTAACTTTAACACCCTGTAACTTTTTTATTATACATAAATAGACTAAGGTAAGTTTAGCTATATCGCACTATTTTGATGTAAGGAATCTACCCTTGCTCTGTGTTCCAATAATTTCGGGACACCCTGTATATAACAAAAAAACTTAAGAAAGGATTGACAATTTATGATACATATTCTTTGGAAAATCCAGGATTTCAAATTTTAAATACCTACCTAAACTTAAGTATAAATATATCATTCATACATAAGATCACCAGGACAATATAGCATCACAAATCATGATGCTAATAGTACATGTACATACAATTTGAAGTTTGAACATGGTTCGTAATTGGTACTCAGTTGTACGATATCACAAAAGTGCTAATGCTGAATAATAGATCATACTGCTACTAATGTCACTGACACAAACTGGTATAATGGTGTCGATCATTTTCGTATTGAAGATTCGTACCAAATGAAAAATGAATCACATAACTTAGGATTTGTATAACTTGAACAAATCATATGGGTCGGCACTTCTCTATTCACTTCAATTAATAATGGAACAAATAATTTTAAATTATAATTATGATAACTTCAATGATTAAATACTCTTGGCTCAGAAGTATTTTTTATCTTATTTCCATTACTAAATTTTTTAGCAAACTTTATGTGACACTAACATTTATTTTTTACAGATTCCTGTGAAATTTCAGGAAGTAGAACACAACCAAAAAGATGAACTGCTGGAGGGGGAATCTTTAAATATGTTGCCAAAGACGGGCCTCGATTTTTTAGACAACTGGTAGTCATAGTTTTAGTTATTTAGCTATTAAGATTCACCTCAAATATTCGTTTTAGTGTAATTTTGTATAAACCACCAATTTTTTTATTTCTTCTTAAAATGATGTATTAAATATTGGAATGAATTTGTATTCTGGCCTTTTATTTCTTATTTCTAAATCTTGCTTAATTGATTTTCTAGTTGCTAGTTATTACCATTGCCATTACTTATAATTTTTATTTAATTATTTCTAATTTGAAATTTTATAAGAAAAAATATAGCAACCCTACTTTTGAAAAACATACATGTGTCTCACGATTGTGTCCTGAAGAGGAAAAGTTTTATTTGTAAATTTATGAAAAAAATAAAATAAAATAAAATTTAAATAACCATAAGCAAAAAAACTCATCTTTTTTGGAACTGTGTCGAAGATTTTCACTGAATGGTCTTAGAAAATTGAAGTTTATAAGTTTTAGTTGTATTACAAAAAAAGAATTAAGTATCTCATTTCACTTCAATAAGATGTCTCGAACACACACATGATTCCTGTAATTAAGCCAAAAACTCATTAACAAATGATAATTAAAATACATTGAATTCAGATTGGAACCTCTGTGAGGTTATATTATAAATATTATAATTTTGATTTATTACTATTAGTATTATTATTAATATTAATTCTGTAAAAAAGTCGGTGAAAATTTATTATTTCATAGAAGCCCCGATCTGAAATAATTACATCAATCATCTTGTCAAAAGCTACAAGCTACCCAAGTGATGATAAGAAATAAAGTAACTTTTTTTTTTTTACAATTGATACTTCATTTTTATAACTGGAATTAGTATCTAACAATATCTTTTAGCGACACTTTTCAACATATCAAAAGTTTGGGGTACGTTTTTTTAAAATCACTAAAATTTTTCAGAAAACAATAATTTTTCAGATACAGTACCTAACTATATAAAATTATTATGACATTTTTTGTAAGTCGACAGCTTGAAAACTAAAGTTTAACATCACCAGGTTTCTTAAAATGAAAGTAAATAAATGTTTAGTCAGAATGTTATTTATAAGTTTACCAAGTACCTATATAATTTTTTTATATAAAAGCTGATAATATTTATAGCTTGATTTGTGACTATAAATAGCTGATGAAGAATTTGGTTTTATTCTAGTCATAGGGAAATTAATGGATGTAAAATATATGGGTACTGAAAAATTGTTAACATTATTTTGAATTCCTTATTCCTGGATTACATGGAGACTTCTTAATTTGTTTGTGTTTTTTAATTGCAAACAATTTTGTATTACATTTCTTTCTAAAATTCAGTTTTATCACTTCTTTATTTTTAATAATTAAGGCAATTTAAGAAGTTCAGTAGTTCAGTTAGTAGGTAAAGTAGTTAGTACCTAACCATTTAGGCATGATTATTAGTTCTGGTTTTGAATTTATAAAAAAAAAACGTTTTTTATTCTTACCTATTTCGTAAATTTCAAAATACCAAAAGGATATTTCAGATTGGTTTCTGATTTGATCCAGAATATCTAAAAGAGCAGTAGTAAAATTTAATTAAACGGACCACAGTGTATTGTCTACAAAGTTACTTATATCTGCAAATAAGTTATATCTTTTCTGTAAGTACCTTACCTATGGAATTTTCTATTCCATGATTCAATGGACACATTGGGAAAACGTTATCCTTTTTTATTTAAATAGTCTTTGGTGTATGAAATCTAAGTATTTACATATCTGGTTTTGTACTATTTTAAAAGATAAAAAACATGCCTGTCAAAAATATGTATTGCAAACTGGCTGAACCCTACCACGTTCTGCAGTGGCTATTTCCTTTTCCTTACCTTTATTACGATGCAATATTGTGCATTATTACAATACAATATTGTGAATAGTAATAAATAACAATATTGCATCAGAGATATGTAGGTATATAGATAAATTTTTTGCAAATGGTACCGGCGCATCCGCCAAAAAATATACAAGAATTTGGAACAAATGTTATTCAGGAAAAAGTTTCTATACTATGGAGTTATTCATAGGAACATTAATTAGGTACTTTCAATTAGTTTTGAAAGATGGCAACTGTATTATTTGATGAAAGAAATGAGAAAAATGCAGGGTTTTTAACAAGCTCTATGACAAACTTTGACAGATGGCAGCTGGGTTAATTTCAAACATTTTTTCTTATATGAACAAAGGTCCGATTCGTTTTTGTTTAGAAGTTAGGTACAAGCAACTTAAAAAATATAATTTCATATTTCAATCAAAGTAGCCTGATAAATAAAAATGATGGTTGCTATAACAATATCTAATAATTATTATTTATGTTTAAAGTTTATTTTATTTACTTTATTTAACCAAATTAACAAATCTATAAGACTATAAAAATTGTTCTAAATGTCCACCCTCGGCTCGATTGCAAGCCTCACATCGGCGAACTAAAGATTCCGTCACTTGACGGATGAGATTTGGTATTTGGATCATTTCTTATTTGTTCAGCTCTCGGGTTAGCTTAGCTGCATCCTGAATTCTTACAAGTAACTGTTGATGGGTAGTGACTTCAACACGGTAGAAGTCCAAAGGAATTAGATCTGAGCAACGCGGTGGCCATGCTATTGGACCTTATTGACCTGTCCATTTATTTGGGAAATGATAATTTAACCAAGCAGTTACTTGTCTCCCTCTATAGAGGTATGGTGGTGCACCATCGTGATGATACCATATATTTTGAACAATATTAAGCCCGGATGTTTCAGATCGTCATTTTATTTTTAAGATTTGAAATATTAGTTAGTGTTTGTAAAAAAAATGGATAAATATTAAGTCTTTCTTATCAAAAGAATAGTCTCCCATTCATCTGAGATTTTCGGTAAAACGATACACTATACCGATTTTCAGCAAGTATACCTTTTTTATGTAGAATTGTCCACGGAATCTAAAAATGAATCCCAAATGATTATTAGGTCATTGGCATAGAACTTGGGGTAAAAAAATCCCGCTTTACTACTCATTCATACCCCACTGACCTATAAAAATTTGTAAATTTTATAGTAAATTATACAAATGTGTAAATGTTAACACCATACCAAAGAATCAATTTGTTGTAAGCATACCAAAGATTTCATAAGTAATATGATTTTAAAAAACGACCAATACGGCCCTGTACAGTAAAAAAGCTGATACTTAGACCCTTGCTTTATATGGCAATTCTAAATTATTTATTGAGTTCTATTTGTGATTAAGGTTTGATTCCCCCGAACTAAAACACCCTGTATACAGGGTGTTTCTAAAATAGAGTTCCAAACTTCTGCTGCGTTTATAACTCATTAAAATAAGCCAAAAAGTTCCTATTAACATGTGCCCTAAAACGCACCCTTAGGAAGTTATATGCCCTTAAAAGGGCTCAAACAAAACTGTTTTTTTTTTCTGTTATTGACAAAACGGTCGCAAATAAATAGAAAAAAATGTATGGGTCTTACATAACTTTTTACGTTAAATAACATGGGCTACTCCGTTTTCCGACATGCAAATCATATGCGCCCCATTTAGGTTGGTGAAGGGGGTTTTCGGCCCGTAATTTTTTTTATTTCTATTTTTTACAATTTTCTCTCCAGATTTATAAAATCTTAACAATTTTACGTAAAAAATATTATCTTTGTCCAAATCGATATTTCCACTGGTTTTCGAGTAAATTGAGTTTGAAAATTACTCTGCTCTTTATTAAGTTATTAGGCCAAAAATTTAAAAAATCTGTTTACCATGGCAAATAAAAGACTGACGTTGCCACAACGCTTAACAATTTAAGTTATTGATAAACTGTCAATTGAGCTTTGCAGTGTTTAATTAGTAAAAGTGATGAGTGGAAAATTGTGGAATGAATATTCTGCCGGGGAAATGTTGAGAATGTTACAGAAGGCCTTTAGAAAGACTAAAAAAGGCAAAGAAAGTGTTAAGGACGATAGCGTCCAGGACGACCATCAACGTCAACTGAGAAACAACATGCTAATCAAATCGAAGATCTTGATACTGTTGGCATTTTAAAAGGTTCAGTAAATACTATTTTAAAAGATTTGTTGTACCTTAGACGCGAGATAACTTTTGTGCCGAGCGGTTTGGGTTTTTAAAAACAAAATTTCTTTTATTTCAAAAATTTTCACAAAAGTATCGATGAATTAAAGTCGAAATAAATACAATAATCTCAAAGATATGAGCTCTGTATTACCTCTAGACAATAACTGGCTAAACAATGAACTTGACCCATATTTATAAGTTTAGCAGAACAATGAAACTGCAAGGGTTGCAAAGTCAGCATCTTATCGGGATTGATAATTCGCGTCAAATCTCGTTTGGTTCCAAAAACGCTCAACTTTTTGGAAAAACAGCGTCGGGTTTTGATGATTTCTGACTACCAAGACGTCATGAAACGCATCATTCCTGTGGATCGAGTGGATATCATGCAAAAGGTGAACCAAGACCAAGAAAACCAGAAACTAAAAAGACAGTTTTCTTTGATTATCGTGGCGTAGTGCACTATGAATTTCTTCCAACCGGCCAAACTGTTAACAAGGAATATTATTTGAATGTTATCCGTCGTTTGCATGATGCTATTCGCCGCAAGAGATCGGAATTATGGCCAGACAACTCTTGATTTTTGCATCATGATAATGCACCGGCTCACACAGCATTGATAATTCGAGACCACTTCGCCATTTCAGCTCATATCGCTCCGCAATCCGCAACTACTGTATTCGCTTGATTTAGCATCGAGTGACTTCTGGCTATTCCATAAACTCAAAAGACTACTCCGTGGACACTGTTTCAACTCGATCAAGGAAATAAAAGCCAAATCGACGAAAGCATTGAAGCAAGGTGACCAACTCCTCAAAGTGATAATCCGGGACACTTTTATGAAACCAAAAAAAAAAAATTGTCAAACACGTTGCTTCATTAAATTAGACCACTAAAATAAAACTAGCTACGTAACAGGTGAAGATGTGTACCTGGCCTAGTATATGTACTTTATTTAAATTTATATTTTGTTTGGCTGTGAATAGCTTTTTAACGCTTTTTTGTTTTGAAAGACACTTTATTTCCCGGCACGTACACGTTCTAAAAACTGGAACCTGTCCCGGCCAGTCCGGTACGGTTGGTCACCTTGATTGAAAGTCATGCCGGAAAAGAACTTTTGTCGGGTAGACATTACTTCGAAGGTGACGAAATTGATTTGGGAGCATAAATAAAGATTTTTTATTTTTTAAACAAATTCACCTTATTTTTTGATCAACATTAGCCGACATGACGATTCAAGGATGCTCTCTAAGGTGTTCAACATTAATAATTTCTTCAAAGTAACTAGTATTTTTCATACTACCCCAGAAAAAGAAATCGATTAGATTCAAATCAGGGGATCGTTATGGTTAATGAGTAGGAGTATTTTAGTCTCTTTCGATTTGGCGATTTGGAAATAATTTATTATTTAAAAAATTAAGGTGCGATCCGTAATCATATTGTGCGGATTCAATTAGACGGTGCTCCAGCTCAGTACGGTAGAAATGTGCATCAGTATTAAATAAATGATTAATTATTTACAAACCGGTGGACTCAACGTTACCAAAACATCTCTGCTCAATGGCCACCATGATCTCTAGATTTATAATCCAATGAATTTCTTTTTCTGAAGGTATTGTTTATGTTGAAGAAATTAATAATATTGAACATCTTAGAGAATTAATATGGCGGTTAACGAACTTTGGCAGAAAGAAGTTGTTTTTTAAAATAGTAAAATTATTTCTGATACAAAAGTTGATTGAAATGTACTTTTATTATTAATACAGGACCATTACTAATAATGTATGAGTATTTACATAATTTTAGTTGCAGTAATTTATTGAGAACTTGTTTAATGATGCATTGTGTTCGAGACATTAGGTATATTATTCGAAAGTTTTTTTTTAACTTGGTTAAAAACATGTCCTTTTTTATTATTTATCAAAATTCCGCTCGATGTTATCATCATCATCATAAAGCATTATGTACTTTTATGTACAGTTCGTTTTAAAAATTTTGCTCCCCTCGTTGAAACCGATATCAACATCACGATGACCTAGGAGTTATTAAAGTGGGTTCGCTCCTACAAAGCTTAGGCCCAGAAGAAGAAGGACACATTAAAGATTTCTAGCTAAGGCTAAATAATCGCAAATTGTGTACCAAAAAGAATCGAAAAAAAATCCATAGGTGTATACACGGTGTTTCTTAATAACGTGCTAATATTTAAGGTTATTCTTGGGTCCATTTTAAGAAAAAAACTTCATATGAACATATGTCCTAAAAGTCTTAACTTTTGAAATACAGGGGGCTAAAGTTTTATGAAAAAACATTTTTTATGATTATATACTTTGGTATTGCCCTAGATATTTTTTCAAATTTGGTACACGCCTTCCATTCATCGAGATGCAGTTTCTGATGTATAAACAATTTTATAATTTTTGCCAGTGGCGTCTGTACAGGTTTTGTATTGAATATTTTTGAAGAAAAATATGTTACGCCACTGCTTTTTCTTAAAGTAAAAATCATGTTTGAAATTCTCATTCCTTTCTGAGCAAATGTGGTGTAACATATTTTTCTTCAAAAATATTCAATACAAAACCTGTACAGACGCCATTGGCAAAAATAATAAAATTGTTTGTACATCAGAAAATGCATCTAGATGAATAGAAGGCGTGTACCAAATTTGAAAAAATATCTAGGGTAATACCAAAGTTGTCATAAAAAATGTTTTTTCATAAAACTTTAGCACCCTGTAGTACAAAAGTTAAGACATTTAGGGCATAGGACTCAAGAATAACCTCCTTAAATATTAGCACGTTATTAAGAAACACCCTGTATACCTATAAAATAGCTGGGGAGTATAAAGATCATGGCAACCCCGATTTTCATTTGTTTTTTTTAAGTACACAAATCTCTATAAACTCATAACAATTGCTATGCAATAAATATCTTTGTCAAATTTGAAGTTAATATCTCGAAAACTGTCGGATGTATTAAAAAAAACGATTTTAAAAATTCTACTTTAGCGTCTTGCATATTTTAAAGAGAGCATTTTTGTATACAGGGTGTTAATGATAAATTTTGCCAAACTTTAACGGCGTATTCTACCGATAAAAATCAACTTTTGCCCTATAAAAAAGTAGGGGGACAAATTGATTGTACATTTTAAAAACCAGTGGCGTACGATTTTTTTCAAAAAAGGTCCCCTACTCGCCCAATAACTACGCCACTGGAGTGTATTTTGGAATAAGTTATACATGAAAAAATAGTTCCTACTAAAAAATGTCATCCCCCAAATTTTATCACACAATCTTTTATGCCAGTGAAGTTACAGGAAAAATAATATAAATATTTGAATAATTTAATAACCTGTATCTATGTAGGGAAGCGTCCTATCAAAAATTTTTATAGGGCAAATCTTGATTATTTTTGTCTGTAGAATTCGCCATTAAAGTTTGGCAAAACTTATCATTAACACCTTGTATATAGGTAAATATGTCCAAATCGCCTTATTTTGATCTCAGGAGTCTGTGGTGCTCGGATTGTCGTTTTTTGGGACAGAATGTATATAGGTATGGTATAATATTTTTTATGAGCCAAATGAGAAGTTTTAGAAATTTTCCTGAAATTGGCCAATCACTTGCCTCGCGATTATTTAAATAAGATATATTTAATTAGGAAGATGGCAAAATTCATATGTGATCTGGCTAAACTTACCTTAGTCCAATAGCTGAGTGTCAAAATCAAAATAATTGATGTATTTAAACGAAATTTGGTATCCCGGAAAAATTTAAAATTTCTCATAACTTTGGCATACATTCTAGATGGCGCCACTTAGGCCGACAGAACTTTTATAGTTCATAAATCTTTTGCTACACACTGTATTTTCTATCACTTTTACATAAAACATGTATTTTTTCTAAGAATTACCGTTCTCGAGATATTTACATTTAAAAAATTCAATGTATGACATGAGTTAAAGAATTTAATTTTTATTTTACTGAACTGAACAGTACATTATAACCGTGAATTATGTTATTAAATTTTCAAAATGGCTTTCATCTTCTTTCATACATTTTCTAATTATTTTTGTTAAAGATTTACGGACTTTAAAAAATATGTTGGGTTGATTTCTAATAAACTGTGAGGCATTCAATACCTGGTTCCATAATTCTTGTCGCCTGCTAATTGAGTGAGAATAAACTAATGTTTTCAAGAGGCCCCACAACTAATAATCCAAATGATTTAAATCAGGACTGCGAGGTGGACATTGGAATTCACTTCCTCTTCCAATCCATCGATGAGGAAATTGCTCATTTAAATAAGTACGCACTTCACGAGAATAATGAGCTGGCGCCCTATCCTGCATGAACCACATGCTCTATCTGATGTCTAAAGGCCAAGTATCCATATCGTCAAAAAGTTCAGTTCGCAGGAAATTTAAATAAGAATTATTCTTTAGACTTGGTGGTAATTCATATGGACCCAGTAAGTGATCTTCTATGAACCCACACTACACATTAATTTTAAATTCGTGATAAAGTGAATCTACAGTTGAAATCACATTGAATCTTTTAAATACAAATTTCTTGAGAAGGGTAATGCCTACCGATATCAAGAAAGTATACCTTTTTATGTAAAAGTGATAGAAAAAGAGACGCTGCTATCAGAAAATAAGATACAGTGTGTAGCAACAAATTTATGAACTATAAAAGTTTTGAGAGGCGACGTAAGTGGCGCCCTCTAGAATGTATGTGAAAGTTATGACAAAAATTTGAATTTTTCATGTCAAAAAATCCCTGCACACCAAATTTCGTTTAAGTACATCAATTCTTTCTAACGTTATTTAAAAAATTTGAAAATAAAGTTTCGATTTTAACACCCCTGTAACTATTAACTTTTGAACTAAGGTCATATTGGTCAGATTGGCCAGATTATTATGACGTCACAAATCACCTGTTACTCTCCGTATAATTCATTACGGAACACCCTGTATAGTAGAAACTGAAAAAATAAAAATCAAATTTAATTAAATTAAAACGCCACAATGTTTTTGTTAAAGATTACGATGAAACAATTTTTGTTGTGGAATAAGGCATCACATTTTAATTCCCTAGTTTAATGTTTTAGGAACAGAGTTTCAAAAAATCCTCTTAATGCTCAGGCTTTTATTGGGTCACGTTGTATTTGTATATCTATTGAGGTACATCATTTGTACATTTACCGAGAAATTTTGTATATAGATAGATACGTATCGTTAAATATTAACAGATGGGCCGTACCAGTTCGCCAATGAGTCGAACAAAGCGTTCGAATATTTGCGATACACTAGAATTTGGCATTGCGTAAATTAAAATCATGCGAAGCATGAAAAATTCCGTAGTAAAACTCTTTTTAATCGTTGCAAAATCAATCACCCACGTGTCGGTGACGTAAAAATTGTAGGGCAACAGCCAATGAATCGGCGACGACCTCACGGCCTTACCCTCGGATCGTGCGCAGAGGCCCCGTGCGTAGCACGTCGTAGTGTTTTGACTCGTTCAAATCGTTTATGGTTTCAGTTTGTGCAAGTTTACGAAGGTGTGTACTTTGCTAATTTTTTATCGACGTAACTTCGCGCCACTTTTTTGACATTGCTATTTTTTCGTTTGTTCGAGTTTTCGTGTTGTGATTTTTCGTAGATATGAACTTTGTTTGGTAATAGTTGTGTGTGTGGGAATCCGTTTTTATTAATTTTGTCACTGTTGGACGGCGTTGTTTTTTTGTGTTTACATTGTTTGTTGGCTGTTCCTATTACTCCCGAAGTGTAATTGGTTCGTGAACAATCCGGCGCTCATTGAACGTCGCCGATTTTTTTTGTGATCCGGTGCATAAACGTTGAAATTATTGGAAATACACTGAGAATCCGTGCCAACATGATGAATATGCGGCGACATGACATAGCTAGCCGTAAGTATTAATTATTATTGTGCTATAAACCGTTATTATTTTATATTTGGGGTATGTACATACTCAAAAGCTATTAATATTTTGCAGATAGTATAATGGTTGACCTTGTAAAAAGTCGTCTGGAATTCAAAAAAGTTCAGAAACCTATAAAACATTGGTATTTAAAAATCATGTAAAAAAGGTTCACTTCTTTTTCTTCCCAGACTTTTGAATCCGAATTTATACGTACATATTAAGTACCTACATACATCACCACTAGATTCTACGCTGAAAATTAATGGGGGAATTCATATAAAAATTCTAGACGCTTCATTTCTAAGACACAGTACAGTGTTGGAGTTAAAAAAATCTAAATCTAATTTTAGTAATGTCTCAAATCATATCAAATTAGGTACATGAAGATATAGACTTCTAACATGAAATAAAATAGTCTATTTTAATTTAAAATATATACATGCTTTTGTCGTTTTATTGGTTTTCAAGATTCTTATTTTTTTCATATCACAAAGTATAAGTTAATGTACAATCTTTTAAAAGACCATGGTATTTATTTCTGAAACAATCTATGAATAATAAAATATCTGTGAATTCTAAATACAATTTTTATTTTAATCAACGGCATATCATTTATTAAAAAAAATAAACTGACATTTGCACGCCAATTTAAATAAAATGTCATTACAGTTATTTATAGGTATTAGATATTTATTATGATATGCCTCTTATTAAAATAAAAATTGTTTTATTTTATTGAAAAAAAATTATCTTATTTCACATCCGAGTTCACATCCATAGAAACTGATTTTTCAATGTTGCCCAATTTATTATTTGTTACAAACGTGGCAACTTTCTGGTTTTTTAGATTTGGAAAAATGCTAAATAAGAAAGTTGTGACTATGAAATGGAAGTATTTATTTATTTATGTAATTTTCCAACAAAGTGTTTACACATGTTAACAGAATAAAATGAACAATTTAGAAGTACTGATTCTACAGGGTGTCTCTAAAAAGTCAGGACAAAATTCTACCACATATTGGTAGGGCCAAAATATGATCTAATCCAAGTTATTTTAGTCCAATTTTTGATAGTTTTCGAGATACGGGGTATTGAAGTTACAATTTGATTTTATTTTTTCTTCAATAATAATAATTATTATTAATTGTAGTACCTAAATAGGAGTTTTCTTTCACGGAAAACTGAAATCTGAAATCTGGTTTCGAATTTGCTGCAAATTATTAGAGGGCGCCACCTACATAACTTTACCTGCATTTAAATTATCATAACTTTTTTGTGCCTTGACGTATTGAATTTTTAAATCATCAAAAATTCTTATTCTCCGAGTTTTTTGTTTAAAGAAAGGTATACATTGTATGTCGTTTTGAATAACCGTTTTTTGGTTATCTGGATTTAGAGATTTCGTTTCATAAACTTGCTATTTCCTTCTTTCCCACTTTATTCAGTTTAATGATTGCTAAATTAATTCTAAGACTTTGTAGCATGTTCAGAGACCAACGAGCCAAAAACGATATAAACTTGTAGATGTGGATGTACCATGAATTTTAAAGTTCTAAACAGAAAACAATGTAACGGTGTTAGATCCGGTGAACGTGGTGGCCAACCCTCAGAAGTTTAATTCCCTTTACCGTTCCTTCTATTTTGAAAAACTCATTCAAATGATTACAATGCAATTATACCGCGAATATATACTGCGTTCCGCTAAAACATAATAGGTATATTGCTACTATTTGGCAACATTTCTGCAATCATTTTACATTATTTTACCAAGTTAAATATTAGCTGACAGGACATAAAACTATATTAAAATACGTAATATCTCGAAAACCGTTAAAGATGAGTATCACATCTATATAAAATATTTTTGAAAAGTTCTTTTGGCGGTGTTCCATTAAAAAACAAATTAGGTTAGGTTAATAATCATGGAAATGTGACTGTGACATCCAATACTTTATAGTGTGTTGAATAACATTTTTGAAAATTTATACAATTTTGATTCTAAAACTTTTTTGTATCTCGAAAAGTAACGGAGAAAAGTGGTGGGGGTAATTTTCGCGTGGCCACTCTGTACAATGCGCGCATGCGTCGTCTTTCAGCTCACCCCGTTCTCTGTCTATCATTTGAGCACAAAGCGATACTCTATACCAGTAAACACTAATAAGTAATCATAACATGATAGATGTGACATCATATAGCATATTATGCTTCTCGTTACCTATGTTTTATGTGCTATAATATCTCACCCATACTCGGAATAGTAGTTAGTAAAATGCTCTCTACAATAGTCTCCAAAGCTTAAAATTGCCTTATTCTAATGGCTACTGTGAAAAAGTGTCCTATGATAAGTATTAAAGTATGTTTTAATTTAAAAAGAGTGACAGACAAAATTTAGACAATATTTACTATTTTTTAAATAGAACACTTTGTATATTATTTGGTATTTGAATAGGACTACAGTGAGGAGATTTCATGAATTCGTCTCTAATGCTAAGAAAGTTATTATTATAACATGTCAAAAGTAAATGTGGTCATATTATTATAAATAAACCCATCATACCTTATTATTGTAAGCCTAAAAAAGCCTTCTATTCAAGCATGAATTAGTATATATCGGATGTTACATTAAAAAAATGTATTCGTCATGCGTTTTTAATAAACCTTAGGTATATAAAATTTAATATACCTACCTAATCGTCTATTTCCAGTTAGTAAATACTACTTTCTTAGATTTCTTTTCCTAAACTTAAAAACCAAAAAGTTATAACGAGTAATAAATTACAGCAGCACTGAATGAAAATCAGTCTTTCTAGACAATGGTACATTTTATAAATATGAAACATTTTTTGTAGTATAGGTAATATCTGGGGATTCCAAATGTCTAATTCTTTAATTTTAGTCAGAGGCGTATCATTTATTGGAAAACAATCTCTTTAATTACATTTACATAACACTAGATTTTTCAATTCAAGTGAAACTATACCTAGGTCGGAAATATTATTCCTTATGTTACAAAAGAAAACAATTGCCTCGAGAATTACTGACAAATAAAAGTTTAATCTCAGTGTATATTGGAAACGAAAAGTCTATCCATAAATTTTTCTAAGAACTACCTTTATTAATTTTTATTGTAGAATCTAGTCGTGAAATTTGGTCCATTCTTTAAAGTATAGACATGGCGGTCTTCATAATTATCGAGATAATTATGCCCTCGATTATGCCACTAGAAAAAAAAAATTCTGTATCAGTTTTGAAGTACGAAAATGTTATACTAAACAAAACCGACCCTTTGACTTTCTTGCATAGCTATAAATTATGAAAATAAGAAACGTAGGAACAACTGGCCAATATTTTGTTTTAGAAACGCAATAAAGTTTCTGTCGAGGCTTCTGCTAAATGGTGTGTAAATTATTAATACGCGTTCTTGTAATGCGCTTTTGAATTAATGGTCGATTTATTTTTTAAATTAAAATAAAAGAATTGATCACGGATTAAAGCCGTTTTATTCATACGGTGGTACATACATTTTTATTCCGTCGTCTTTGTTTAGATAACATACAGGGTGTTCGTAAATAAGTGCGAAATATTTTAGAGGATCGTTGCCAGTTATTTTGTGAAAACAAGTTCTGATAAACGTAGGTCGAAATATGCTTCGTTTCCTAGATACAGTGTTTAAATTTTAATTTTTTATTTATAAAATAAACACTATTAGCCAAAATAACGACTCGTTGTTGTTATGGAGCTAGGAGCTTTCAAAGGTAACTTGATGGACTACAAAAATGGGGAAAATATTTTTGTATAATTTATAAGAAAATGATTTTCAAAGTTCGATATCTCGAAAACGGATAAGTTTAGGTACCTGATGAGGTGCTATATGAAATTTGTTTAGAATTTCGAGAAGAATTTAAATATGGAATAATATACAGGGTGTTCTATTAAAGAAAAAGCAACTTTATTTCGTCATGACTTTTTGATTGATCCTGTATACTTAAGGTTTCTTTATTGTAATAGATTTAAACAAACCCTAATGCGTTTGTACCTTATGATTTTTCGATAGCTATCTTACAGTAAGAGTATTTTTTTTAAATTTTAATATCCTAAATTTCAGAAAGAGGGTTCCAGGAGCAGTATTATTCTGAATTTAAAAGAACAGGGCTCCAAGAAAAAACATTTACAAAAGAAACTGTTCTTATAAATTTATTGTTATTTATTATCTACTGTTAGAGAATTTAATCAATAACTTGATTACTTATGTAAAATTATGTTTATTTATGTAGTACCTAATTAATGTTTTACGGCATGCTAAGTAAATAATTTCATAGTCAATTTCTATTATATTAAAACATGAGTTAAAAATTAAGTTCGTACTTATAAATAGCTGTTAAGTACCTTGTATGCACTTCTTTATTATTTTTCATAGATATAAGTAGTATGAAGGAAAAGAAATCTGACTTTTTGTCGTTGCAGAAATTAGGTTAATTTTTTAATATACCTACACGGACACATATCTAAAAACAAATTTCTTTCTGTATCTTTAGGTCTGTCCTTATAAGATCGTTTTCCTAATGACTGTTGAGAAATTCAAACAAAATATGGCCTTCTATAATATTCCGCGTTAGATAACATTCTTCATAATTATAATAATTATTATCATTATTGACATTTTATTAAATATATAATAAATTTCTATGCGTAATTGAACCTACACTTCTGGTTTAACATTATAACAAATAATCATAGGCCCGATATGTCAGGGTAAATGCGTTTTTCTTTTAAAAGACTAGAAAATTTAATTTAAAAAACTGTATTACATTTTCATTCATTCAAATTCTGAATAAAATTTAGTTATATTATCAGGGTAATCTATTTTTACTCAGAACTTAACGCTTTCGAAGCTACTGAAAGAACTTTTAGTAAGTCTTTTATGTTTAGGTACCTACCAAGAGTTACATATATACAGATTTTCACTGTTTAACAAAAAAAAGTTG